GTCCAAAAGTTTTATAGGATTGTTATAGTCGATATATTCACAGTCACAGCTCAGTGACTAAAAATGCCTAAAGTTTGACACTAGCGATAGCTAAAAACAATCATAGAATATAGCAAAAATAGCTAAAGTTAGCCAAGCAAAAAAAAAAACAAAACTCAGTAACAATAGAAAAATAACTATTAATTAGCTAAAGGTTAGCCATGAACTAACTGTTAAACTTAAAGTGCTAAGATGAAAACTAGCGATAGCTAAAAACAATCATAGAATATAGCAACAATAGCTAAAGTTAGCTAAGCAAAAAAACCCAGTAACAATAGAAAAATAACTATAAAGTAGCTAAAGGTTAGCCATGAACTAACTGTCTCTGACCTGCGCTCTGTCCGCTCCTACAGGGAAGACCTGGAAGGCCATGTCCTTGGCTGAGAAGCGACCCTACATGCAGGAGGCGGAGCGTCTGAGAGTCCAGCACACCATCGACTACCCCAACTACAAGTACCGACCGCGCCGCAGGAAGCAGCTGAAGAAGAACTCCAAGGCCCAGAGCAGCGAGGCGTCTCTGTGCAGCTCCGGCCTCACCGTGCCCTACAACCTCAGCTACCTGCTCCAGAACCAGCAGCAGAACTTCACCCACGCCAACTACCCCCCCCTGTACGGCAGCTACCAGAACGCTGCGGTTTTCCCGGACTCTCCGCCGCAGGGCCCAGCAGAACCACCGGTGTACGCCGGTCCGCCCGCGTACCCCGTGGAGCCCCTGTACCACCAGCACCTGCAGTACGGGTTCTCTGCGGGGCCTCAGCCGGAGCAGTGTGAGGCCCGGGGGTGCGGGGGTCTGCTCAGTGCCTGCGGACCCCCCCTGGAGTTCTACCTGGAGCGCGTTCAGATGGACATGTTGTACGATCTGGACCGCAGTGAGTTTGAACAGTACCTGGGCCCGTCCCCCAGCAGGCCCGAGTCGGTGGACCCCAGCAGCTACAGTGAGCAGAGCGGCCACAGGGCGGAGCTGTCGTGAAAAAAAAAAAAAAAAGCCGGAAAAATGTGTATTTATTTAAATTATTGAACTTCAACTGGACTGAAAAAAAAAGTGTTAAAAGTTTTTAAAAATGTGTTTTTTTATAATTAACCATGTCTTGTGTAAATAATAAAATGTTAATAAATAACGAATTCAAATCATAAGTCGTCATTTCCCTGTAATATTATTATATAGAAGGAGCCAAAGGTCAGTGAGCTGAAATGGCAAAAACTAAAAGTTAGCAGAAAAAATACCTTAAAGTTAGCTTAAAAAAAATAAAGTGAAATATCTGATAGTCATTCAAAAAGAAGTTATGAAAAAATATGAAATAAATAACTTCATAAAGCCATTGGTTGTGGATGATGACATTTCCTACATTTCCCATAATGCATAGAGTGTCTTGCAGTGCTTTGAAAATAATAACACAAACAGCTAAAAGTTAGCCAATGTATAAATATGTTGAATAATTATGAATAAGTTCAGTAAAAAAAAAGAAAAAATTTACAAAGCTATAGCTACAGATTAGCCAAAACTAGTTAGCCTAGACATAGCTAAAGGTTAGCCATTAAAGGCTGGACCTTAGCAAAAAAATAATTTTTTCCATTAACTGCCATTAGATGTTAAACCAGAAAAGACTAGAAAAAAATATTCATAGAATTTAATTAGCCTAAACGTTAGCTAAAATGCTACAAACAAACAACCGTTCACACTCACATTCACACCTACGGTTCAGAGTGAACAACAAAACAACCCACTGCACGTCTTTTGACTGTGGGAGGAAATGATCCCACACTGGGAATCAAACTGCTGACCTCCTCGTTGTAAGGCAAAAAGGGCTAACCCCCTCCTCCACCGTGTGTTCCAAACACGACTGTGCGGAGGCGACAGTGAGTCAGTGACTGCAGTCAGAGCTAAAAAATGTTGGAGGGAAAGTTCCTGTCCCGGCTGCAGGGACGGATGAAAGTGACGACCTGCTGTGAACCCACTGCACCTGAATGGACGGAAGAAATGTGACGTCGGTTCAACTCCCACCACCACCACCACCACCCTGCAGCAGACGCTCCATGACAGGGTTCTGCGGAGGGTGCTGGGACGCGGCTGACGTCGGAGGAGCAGCGGAATCGCGATAATAAAAACAAGTGGTTTGATCGGCTGTGACTCGGAGCTTCAGCCTCGACTTGTTTTTCCTCCGACTGCGGCCGTTAATGAGCCGAGGCAGGAAGTTCCTGAAGGAAAAACAACTGGTCGATCTCTGGAGTCCAGGTGAAAACATCGGTGACATAAACAGCCGCAGGAGCTCAGCGTCATGACGGGTATCAAACCCTGTTGAGGCTCAGCCTCACTGGGCTTTGACCTGCTGGGTTAGACACCTACTGGATACAAGGAGCTGGGTTTAAACTGTAAGACGCCCCCTGGTGGCTTAATGCTGCAACTGTTTTCTGATTATTATTTTTTTCATAGAATATATAAAACTTATAACAGTGGTCAAAATTGCAGCCTGATGAGTCACTTTGACTGGACCTCAAATGGTGGCCCGTGGCCCAGTGCCAGGGCCGCAACCCACCTTTTTGTGGACCGTGAGGTTAACACGTAAATAAATGGTGTTTTCATAATTTTTATAATATTTTTTTTTGCTGCTCACGTAACATAATAAAGAACTTTAAATTTTGATTTCGGTCTGCGCTCTCTTCTTCTGTGGTGTTTCCATCAGAGGATTCACTCTCTGGAGGATGACCTTTGACACCAGGTTACCTGCCTCTTAGTCTGGTCTAAGGACTAAAAAAAAAACCAGGAGGCAGGTCAGAATCTGATGTAAAAATTTGATGGTGTTTTTTTTTTTTTTTTTTTTTTTAACGTTCCCTAACCTGAGAACTCTTTTCCAGTCTCAGTGATCCGGTTCCTCCACCGCTGACATCCATTCTATTTTTAGCTCCTCTCTGAGCACCTTCAGATTATTCTTGGGCCAAATTGAGGTTCATCAGGTCCAGGTCCCACCACGGAGGTCACTGATAGCTTCCTGTGCTGACGGCAGTCTGGGTAAATGTGAGGCTGCAGCCTGGAGATAATGCTCATCCGAGAATTATCCTGCAGGGACGTGAGCTCCCTCTGGAGCTGAGGAGGAAGCTGCGACAGGAAGAAGCTACACACACACACCAACACACACCAACACACACACTCTGCAGGTTCCTGTCCTATCTCTTTCTAACTCTTCCAAAGTAAAAAGAAAAAAAAAAGTTGCTATTTCAGGACTAACGTTTTGCTAACTCTTAGGCTAACTTTAGCTTTTCTAGCCATTACGGCTAGCATTAAGCTACATTTAGCCACAGTTTGATCCACGTCTCTTCCAGGGCTGTCTTTACTCATCTTATTAGCCAGGATTAAAGCCCTTTTGTCCGCCTTGTGCTAACATTCAGCTAGCGTTAGCTCAGGCTAACTAAATAAAGAGCCTGTTTACGGACCAGGCGACTCTCGTCACTGCAGTGATTCTGCCGTCTCTTCGACGACGGTGGCGGCCGGCGGGCGACCGTCAGGTCCGGGTGTGACCTCGTGACCTCGTGACCTGCTGAGGAGACACAACACTCGGAGCAGAGAGTCTCTGAGCAAAGAGACGCTCAACAAACACTCACAGGATGATTAACACAAACACGACACCCGACTGACTGGCAGTGACCGAGGAGGAGGAGGG